AGATAGATAGATAGATAGATAGATAGATAGATAGATAGATAGATAGATAGATAGATGAGAAATTAGGAGTTGGCCAAGCTTGTTGACTTGGTTAGTGGCTTAACCTTATCTTTAGCTCCTGCTTTTGTTATTTACTTGTCCTGCACCCCTTTCTGCTGGAACAAGCAGATGTAATCTGAGTGAGTGAGTAGTTGGTGAGCATGTTAATAGTGTTAGGCTATAGGCAGGGTGCCGTTCTGGTCCGGCTCAGCTGCACATGCATTTGATGGATCACTCTGCTGTCAGATCAATTTTTAGAAATGCATTGGAACCGGAGAGACAACGAGAGAAAGAGTGAGCAAGACAGGGAAGGATAGAGAGGGATGGTCAGGGGTGGAGTTAATCGGGTACGGAACCACACCAAGAGATATAAAAGGGAGGACATATGAAGACACTGGGGGTGAGAGATATACGACGATACCACCACAAGAGAATGCCAGAAAAAAGATGGGCTAAAATGGTATTGCTAAAGTATGCGTGGGAGACTGAAAGGTTTAAAAAAAATGTAGTGAAAACTATCCGATATTTCCCTCTCCATCGCCCTTGATATTTATAGCTGATGAGGACTTGAGGCTAGAGAAAAAGAATGATCTCTTTCACCCATGTGCTGAAACTGGTGGAAACTGACTATTAACTACACTCCTCCACAACAACTAAAACCCACTTTTTTCGATTTGCGCACCACAAATATGTAGAAAATGTGCACATACTCACTCTTCACCACAACAGGAGCAACAAAGGTCATTATTACCAGTGTGTTAGAGAGAGAGCTATTGCTAAGGCAGGGTTAGATGTGTATCAATGCTGAAGAGTAATAATGAATAATTATATAATTATTGTTGATTGAATAATGATATAATTATTATTAATTAATCACAAAATTTTGGGCCACATCGTGCAACCCAAAGAAGGAAAAAGTAAACCTGGAGCTTAAAAACAAAATGAAACGTTACATTACGTTACGATACGATACAATACAATATGATTAGATACAGTTAGATACGATTAGATGTTAGATTAGATTGATTGATTGATTGAAGTTGCAGCTTAAGTTCATTATTTGGAGTTTCTTTAGCTGGTTTTAGAGGGGTTTTTGGGTATTTTTTATTTATTTTTTTGTCCCAGCTGGGAATATGCTCACTAGTGCTACCAAACTGTGCAACTTCTTTCATTCTTACATTTTTTCGATCAAACATGTAGTCTCATCCACAAACTTTACTGCATTGCTTGAGCCAAAATAGTTGGACATGCTCAAACAAACAGAACAATGTTTTGAAAGACTCAGTGTTTATATTCCTTTGGAAATCTACCTACGAATGGTCTGTACATAGTTGTCTCTGCACAACTGAGATAGGAGAAAATATTTTAACATGGAAAAATTACCTCTACAGCACCCATTTTCTAAAGAACTAGAAAATAAAAAGTCCTTTGTTGCATTTAAATAAAAGGTTCCTTTTCTGACATCAGGCTGTAAACCCTTTTTGCTTTAATTGGAACATTTATTTTTAAGAGTGAATAGTGTGGTGGAGATTTGAGAGTTGTTGCAGAGTGTTTGGAGGAAGTTTAAGAAGAGTTTTCTCGAGCTGTAGAGCTGGCTAAAGGGAGTTTTGAGGTTACAGAGGAAAAAGTAAACCTGGAGCTTAAAAACAAAATGAAACGTTACATTACGTTACGATACGATACAATACAATATGATTAGATACAGTTAGATACGATTAGATGTTAGATTAGATTGATTGATTGATTGAAGTTGCAGCTTAAGTTCATTATTTGGAGTTTCTTTAGCTGGTTTTAGAGGGGTTTTTGGGTATTTTTTATTTATTTTTTTGTCCCAGCTGGGAATATGCTCACTAGTGCTACCAAACTGTGCAACTTCTTTCATTCTTACATTTTTTCGATCAAATTTTGTAGTCTCATCCACAAACTTTACTGCATTGCTTGAGCCAAAATAGTTGGACATGCTCGAACAAACAGAACAATGTTTTGAAAGACTCAGTGTTTATATTCCTTTGGAAATCTACCTACGAATGGTCTGTACATAGTTGTCTCTGCACAACTGAGATAGGAGAAAATATTTTAACATGGAAAAATTACCTCTACAGCACCCATTTTCTAAAGAACTAGAAAATAAAAAGTCCTTTGTTGCATTTAAATAAAAGGTTCCTTTTCTGACATCAGGCTGTAAACCCTTTTTGCTTTAATTGGAACATTTATTTTTAAGAGTGAATAGTGTGGTGGAGATTTGAGAGTTGTTGCAGAGTGTTTGGAGGAAGTTTAAGAAGAGTTTTCTCGAGCTGTAGAGCTGGCTAAAGGGAGTTTTGAGGTTACGGAAAGGTTGGGGAGTTTTCACAGCGGATGTGCTTGAGGTCTTTAGTTGAGTAGATGCATGCTGAGAGACTGTGAATTAAAAAGCAAAAGGAAGATGTGACTGACTGATGGAGCTTGTGGAAGAATTGACAACCTTTTGTCCACTTTTTCCTCATCCCACGTATATTCTCCCGTCCAGTACCACTTCTCCCTCTCTAGTTTTGTTGTAAAACATAGCAAGCTGCCTTGTTGACTACTGCCTACATAGACAGTTGTCTTCTAAAGTAGCATTATAATCATAATAGTGTGTTATGAACAATTTACATTTACAGTTTTCCATTAGCATGTTGGGGTTATTACAATTTTAACAGTTTTTTATTTTGAAAGTGAAAAGTGAAAGTGAAGTGACGTGTGACCAAGTATGGTGACCCATAGTCGGAATTTGTGCTCTGCATTTAACCCATCCAAGTGCACACACACAGTAGTGAACACACACACTGTGAACACACACCGTTAGCAGTTGAGGGTTCGGTGCCTTGCTCAAGGGTCTCACCTCAGTCGTGGTATTGAAGGTGGAAGAGAGCACTGGTTATTCACTCCCCCCACCAACAATTCCTGCCGGACCTGAGACTCGAACCCGCAACCTTCGGGTTTCAAGTCCGACTCTCTAACCATTATTTATTCATATTCTAATAATTTATTCCTGTGATGCAAAGCTGAATTTTCATTATCATTACTCCGGTCTTCAGTGTCACATGATCCTTCAGAAATCATTCTAACATGCTGATTTGGTCCACCATTTATTAATTCTAATTATAAATTATTTAGCATAATAAAAAATTGCGGTTTCTCCAGTTTTTATTTCTTCATTTAAGACTTTTCTTGCACCTAAATATGCTGTTATTTCAATCATCTGTCATCTTTTTTATATAAATATCTTCATTTTCACATTCCTATACCAGGACTCTTGTTTTATTGTTTTGTTTCACTGTCAGTTAGTTAAGCAATGCTTAATTAATAATGCATGGAAAAGCATTGACATGATTCTCTTACACAAACAGAAGATAAACTGCAGAGAAACTAATTGGATCAAAGAAAAAGTCAATGAAACAGTGCATTTATACATTTAAAGTGTATTTGTTCAATGCGCATTGGAAGTTGTTGCTTTCTTCCTCTTGTAAGCCACCACAACTACATTAAAGAAGAAAGACTTGTGAACATTAAGAAATGTGAAACCAATTCAATCTCTTTTTGTTCTTTCTTGCTAGATGACTCAGGAGCAGTACATCCTGGCATCTCAGCCAAACCCCCTCCAAAGGCCGGGATGTGCTACTGTGTACCCGGTGGGGATTTATGGCTGGCGAAAGCGCTGTCTCTATTTCTTCATCCTCCTGCTCCTCGTCACCATGATTGTCAACCTAGCCTTGACCATCTGGATTCTAAAGGTCATGAACTTCACCGTGGTGAGCACTTCTCTGTCTCTTATTGTTTTCCTCTCTTGCTTATAATATTTATTTGTTTTCCAGGGCACGCTAATGCAAGCATCACTGTTAGTTAGTATTGATTAAACTTATGGCCAACCCCTAAGTATTAAACATTGGTGCATAACTCGTCCTGTGTTATGGGCATGAATTATACCACAAATCAGGTATTTTCTTGAGCAGAGATGTGCTATTACTCCCATTGTCTTGCACTTAAGGAAGGATTTAAAGGGGTCATATGATGCGATTTCAATTTTTCCTTTCTCTTTGAAGTGTTACAAGCTCTTGGTGCATAAAGAAGATCTGTGAAGTTGCAAAGACTAAAGTCTCAAATCCAATGAGATATTCTTTATAAAAGTTAAGAGTCAACCACACCTCACCGTGGACGAAGCGGAGTCCAGCCCGGGGTCGTCACACGTGGTTGCCGCACGCCCACCGGCCGCTCCTTCGTCGAATCCGCTGGCCTCCGCGCACTCAAGCCCGCCGTGTGTTTCGATGTGAAAGCAAAACTACTTTGTTTGGCCTTCCAAAAGAGGAGTCTCACGCTTGAGGTATTCGGCCAATCACAACGCACTGGATAGCGGGCCAATCAGAGCACACCTCGCTTTTCAGACCGATGAGCTTTGTAAAAATCAGACCACAGCAGAACACTGTAGACCAATAATAATATGAAATATAAATAAAATATATATTTTAGCTAATTTTAATATATTTTCTAATCTTAATCAAACTGCCTATATTAATTTGTTTTTAATGGCCAGATCAGAAATAGAATCTTAAATAAAATAGTAAAATAAAATAGAATAAAATAAAAAATAAAAAATTTATAATAAAAAAAAAATAAATAAAGCAAAAGTCAAACTGTATGATTTACACCAATGAAAGTTTGTTAAAGGGATAGTTCACCCAAAAATGACAATTATGTCATTAATTACTCCCCCTCATGTCGTTCCAAACGTGTAAGACAAATTAAGATATTTTTGATGAAATCCGAGAGCTTTCTGACCCTGCAAAGACAGCAATGTTCAAGGCCCAGAATTAAGGACATCGTTAAAATAGTCCATGTGACATCAGTGGTTCAATCTTAATTGTATGAAGCTAGGAGAATAGCCGACTTTTTGTGCACAAAGAAAACAAAAATAACGACTTTATTCAACAATTTCACACGCAACAATGCATGCGTGTGATCCTGCTGACGCTAAAGCTGGCATTCTGACGTAGAACCCGGATGCGCTGCGCCTTGTTTACAAGCAAAGGAATGCACACACATACATCGTGGTACTGTCGTGAATTGTGGTGGAGACTGACAAGGAAGAGAAGAACTTGTTGAATAAAGTTGTTATTTTTGTTGCAATGTTCAAGGCCCAGAATTAAGGACATCGTTAAAATAGTCCATGTGACATCAGTGGTTCAATCTTAATTGTATGAAGCTAGGAGAATAGCCTACTTTTTGTGCACAAAGAAAACAAAAATAACGACTTTATTCAACAATTTCACACGCAACAATGCATGTGTGTGATCCTGCTGACGCAAAAGCTGGCATTCTGACGTAGAACCTGGATGTGCTGCGCCTTGTTTACAAGCAAAGGAATGCACACACATACATCGTGGTACTGTCGTGAATTGTGCTGGAGACTGACAAGGAAGAGAATAACTTGTTGAATAAAGTTGTTATTTTTGTTTTCTTTGCACACAAATTCAATACAAAAGTATTCTTGTAGCTTCATAAAATTAAGGTTGAACCACTGATGTCACATGGACTATTTTAACGGGCCTTGAATGTGTCAGTTGCATAGCGGTCTATGCAGGGTCAGAGAGCTCTTGGATTTCATAAAAAATATAGAAATGTATATAGGTTAGAAATACCCCCTAAATTGCACTTTGACTTTTGATAGTGTAGCAATACTCTGGAAACCACACAGAATATCTTAGCAAACCCCTGTCAACCACCCACAACACCCTAGAATTGTGGCAGTAAATTTAGCAAAGAAAAACACCACTCATATTCTTGAGAAATTGTAAAAATGTAGTTGTATCTGATTCTCAGCAACTTTGCATACATCTGTTGCTGTCAATCATTGTCCTAAATTCTCTGTCTCTTTCTAATTGTTTGAATGGCCTTACTCGGATGACCAGGTGTACTAGCTAGCAAGCATGAGGTCAGAGCACTTTATTTACCCAGCTGATTTGTCCTTGTTTAACAACATCTGCCACACATGCTGGCTATACAGAATTACAAAGTAGGGGCTGCCTGAATCAGCAGAGTCATGAACCTGCTCAAAAATGAACACTGTGGTTTGTCTGCCGAAAAGGCAAGACAAAATGAGAGGATTTTGTGGTTTTGTGTAAGTGTGTGTGTCTGTGTGATTTAGGCAGTAATGGTGTAAGAACTGGGAACTACAATACCTCTTTGCATGTGTTCGAGTCTCTGCTATTGTAACACATGACAGGCTCATGAAACCTCTTTACGGCGTGTGTGCTATGTGTGGTCTTAGGCCTGTGAAGCTGATTTCTTTCCATTGTGACTGTGAAAGGGACTATACCATGCAGAGATTTGTATCTTCAGACTTTCCATTATCTTGCTTAAACAATTGTTTGACCTGTATGGTGCCTCTCAGGTGGGTCTTTCCTCAACTAAAGTGGCAGACATTAATAAACCATATGGTTCATGACTACGTGTGTCACGAGAGTTTGGATTGAATGACCACATAAAGGAGATTTCTACCATTTTGATGTAGATCTAATATTCTGCACATGTTTCTGTGATGGGTAAGTGTAGGGGTAGGGTTTTGGGTTAGCTGATAGAAAATATCATTAAACTGATAGAAAAGCATTGGAAGTCTATGCAATGTCCTCACTAAAATATCCAAACAAACGTGTGTGTGTGTGTGTGTGTGTGTGTGAAATGTCACTGCAGGACATTTAACAACCTTATCTTGAAAAAGGTCAAATTATGGTATTTTAAAATACTTTAACATACAGTCATGAGAGTCTGCATGGGTCCTCCCTATCACATCATTTTTTTTTTCTTCTTCTGCATGTTTTTGCATGTTGGTCAAACCACAGGACTTTGATTTGGGAGTCTCAAATATTAAAAGCAGTAAATATTAGCAGTAAATCAGTATTTTTTTCCCCCTAAGAAATAATAACAAAAATGTATGTCAGTTTGTAAGACAAAATGTATGACAAAATGTATGTCACATAATGTGGCGATTAATTAATCTAATTAATCGCAAATTAATCACAAATCAAATTTGGCTGAGAAATTACTCCCAAAAGATCATTTAAAGTCATTGTTGTGTAAAGCATCAAACAGACATTACAAAAAATAGCTTCAGCAAGAAATATTTTGTTGGATATAATTTATTACATATACTCTTTTGGACCATGAGAGTGAGTAAATGATGACACAATTGTCATTTTTGGGTGGGTGAACTATACCTTTATTAATTTATTTTATTATTACTACTATGGAAATATGAAATTATTTCTTTAATTAAATGATACTCTAAATAATAAACTAAAACTGCCAGTAGGTGCTGGTAAATGTCTTAATGATTAAGTAATTGAGTCATTTATTCATTCATTTGATTCGTTCAAATGGCTGATTCATTCAGGAGTGAAGTAAATGGTTCTTTATGAATGGTCCATTGAATCATTATGTTACTCACCTATCGAGAAGAAACAAAGCAACCTCGGCGTCCGATCGCAGGCCTTCCCACTCCTTGAGCTCTCTCCAGCGCTGGAAATCTGATCCGATATTTACACGGGTCCTACTTCTTGCCTTATCATAAATCTTCTTTTGTTCCGCAGACGTTTTCCTCTTTTGTTTTTTAACCACCATCTCTATCTTTCTGTCACTCGGCTCGCTAATGTCCGTCCTGTGCACTGAAAGCTCTCGCCTCCATATCACGAGTAGACACGCCCCTTACTGCTGATTGGCTACAAGTTTGTTTTGCTATTCGGCCCAAATCAGTTTTCTAAAGCGTTTTTGAAAAATCGCTTACCCCACCTTTAAGAAATGAAATGCCGCTGTCTGTTGCTCGGAGACGAACAGTTCGGCTTTGTCTTTATATTTTCGTTGGCAAAATTCAGCAAAACCAACAACATTGTGTCTAAAATAACACAATATTAACTTCTTACTTACTGAACTGTTGTATAAGATCGGTATCACATTTGCACTTGTGTGATATTGCACTTAGGCCTATTGCTCGTGTGATATTGCTAACTAGGCCTATATGATGTAAATATGAGACAAAAACTCAAACAGGGCATTTTTGCCCCATATCTTGAATTTTCGGGACATTCTAACTACGTTCTCTAGGCTCCATCACACAGTGAGTTGTTGCCCTGCCTCATATTTGTCATCAATCAGCTGTATGAAATGCCAGATGACCCACGTAGGTCTGGGGTGGGGCAAGTGCGTTAAATTAGTGCTGGGCGGTATACCGGTTCATACCGAATACCGGTGTTTATTTTTGTTATGATCCGAATTTTTAAAATACCGCAATACGTATACAAAAAATACGTATGTCGCTTAAACAATGTTCAGAACGCGACACTGTTTGAAAGGGGTCCCTTTTCACTGTTGCACTATGGTGAGGGAACAGCTGTATGTGTTACTAAGCGTGAAAGTTCTGAAACTGAAGCTGTAGAACTAATAGAACGTGATGACACAGAAGAACTCATCCACA